CACACACACACACACACACACACACACACCACCACCACCACCACCTTTTCCACCACCACAACAAAAACCCCTCCCACCCAGCAAAAGTACTAGAAAAAACCAAAAACGAAACAAAAAGCAATCCCACAAATATGAAAACTCTAAAGGGACTTATGAAAATTATTCGATGTGAATGCCGCTAATGATCTTTTTGTCTTAATTAATAATTGCTTGCTTAAAACAATTTTAATGTCTGCTACTTGTGAAAAAACGTCAGTTCTCCTATAGCTGTAAAAAGTTATGCTTTAACCCTGTCCGTACGCCCTGGGGTCATTTTGTACCCCTGGGGTTATATTCTACACATTTTAGAATACTTCTAGTCTAGTACGGAGATCTCTTTGAAACTTTCAGTATTTCTCGAAAAAATCATTTTGACAGACTGCCTTGCAAAGCGTACGGATTTGATTAACTAGTAAATTTCCTCTTTGAAAGTGGTGGCACAGAGTTCCCCACGTCGTATGGATACGATAGTAAAACACAACGTAGGGATAGGGTTAATAATCTCGGTTTTCGAATGCCACGTCATGCTGATATTGTGGCTATGTTGCTGTTCGGGCTATATCTAAAATGGGAGTAGAGTCACGGAGCCAATTTGTCTTGAAACTCTTGGTTTCATGTTGAGGACATTGATGATTTGCAGGTGCTCTGGTGTGGTTTGCTCCTTCTTTTCTATCATGGATCTATCAGCCTTATTTTTCCTTCTCCTTTCCTTTGTATGTTACTCTCTAGTAGCACCTCTGACCCTAGCCGTACGCCCTGGGTTCATTTTGTACCCCCGGAGTTGTATTCTTGACATTTCAGAATACTTCTAGTACGAAGATCTCTTTTGAAACCTTCAGTATTTCTCAAAAAAATCATTTTGACTGCTATTCAAAGCGTGCTGACCGGATTAACGAGTAAATTTTCTCTTTGGAAAGTGGTGACACAGAGTTCCTAACGTTGTATGGATATGATAGTAAAACACGACGTACGGTTAGGGCTAATCTGTGTCACTTATGTGACATAAGTGTGTTGTTAGTGCCATAAAAGTAAAACTAAAACATGTTAAAGACAGATCTAGAGATGCCTTTGTTCTAGGTATGTAGGTTTCCTAGATTTGTAGGGATACTTTTAAGGCAGAGGGAGTGACACTTTCTCTCCTGGTTAAAAAAATCACTGTGTGACAAGGATAAAAAAAAAAGAAGAAGTAATTCCTCTTCCTAGGGTTTGTTGAGACATTCTGAATCTCTTCCCCTTGTTCCTTTTGCTCTGTCCACCTATGGTGTTGCTCGTGCGAGGTTGAATTGATTTTAGTTGATGAGAGTATCTTTAAGACTGTTAAGGTGGTATGATCTATGAACAAAACTGGTGGGCACCTTTGGTGTTGAAAGAAAAAAAGTACTAAGCAAAGGAATAGACATTTGTTACAGAAAATATATTAAAATACTGCCTATGGTTGGAGGGTATAGTCCTTAAATGAGGCAAACTTTGGAGTAAGGTTTTGGCACACATTATGCAGTGTGAATAGAAAACAATAGTTGAACAAATCAGTGTCCATAGAAATGTGCTGAGACTGCTAGGACAAGATTGAAATGAGAAACATACTTTGTTCTAAAATCCTGGCAGTTTTCGTGTAAGTTGATGGGATTTTTTTTCTTCAGTTATGTAATGTGTATCCTATGGAGGTTGTATTGGGTCATGACTTAAAACCAAACTAAAATTAGCCCCGGATTGTGTTTTTTAATTTCAAGCTTTTTCAGCTAAAGCATGGATGAGCTGAATGCCCTGCGTAATATAAATATATACATATAAATGTGTATATTTGTGCGTCCTGCTGAATAGTCTGATGTCATGTTTCTGATAGAACACCAGTGGAAGAATGCTGAAGCAATGGAGGTAGATTTGTCAGGAACTGAGCCTTTCTCAAAATTGTTTTTTTTTCTTTTTTACTCTCCTTGGCTTTCATTTCAGGTTTCTGACAGTTGTCTTTGATTTATGCGTTTAACGTTTTGTTTAGCCCTACAGCTTTCATGTTCGGTTTCAATTAACTACCAATGGAGATTTTGAAGGAATGTTTACTTCTTTCTCTCAATCAGTTTTTGTTCTATTGACAATTTTCAGTTGAAACCTTTTCTCCTGTTTCTTTGTTGCATATCTTAACCATGAATGTTTAAAAAAAAATCCAGCCTAGTCAGTGTTTTTCTTAACTGTCATTGGTCAGTGGGTGCCGCCTGATAGTGGTCTGCTTCTTCTGCTTCTCTTCAGTGTGACTATTGTCTTATTGCTATGGACTGAAGTGTCTGTAGGCCATTCCTAAAGGGGGGACATTAACTATTCTTATGCTCAGTAGAATTGGAAATTGGCTGATTCATCGATGTCATGCTCATAACGGTGCCTGAGCTGCAACAGGGAACAGCTGCTTTTTCTTTCCTAATCCTTACTATCGTCATTTTTCCTCTACTTCTTTTGTATGTTTGTCATACTCTTATTATGACCCTCTATTACCGGGGTGCCTTTATAGTCGAAGCAGACTTTGTGCTGTTGAAGCTAGAGAGGTGAGCAGAGTAAGTCTGATTCCCTGTAAGGACTTCTCTGTTGACATCCACCCCTTGGTGCTCTTATGACCTTATGCAGTTGCGAGCTCCGAAAAACCTCTACTAAAACTAAAACTATAGTCTAATCGTGGTGAGCTACTGCTCTGTTGCACACCGAGTCCTGTCAGCTACCATTTCAAATCTTTGCTCTGTATAACGTCTTAGAAAGAAGGAGCAAATGACAACAGAGAGCCTGTTAACCACCCAAACAGAATAAGGAAGATTTAAAAGACGTTATACAGAGCAAAGATTTGAAATTGCAGCTGACAATTGTCATTATCTCTCTTCCTTCTTTGTATGTTATTCTCTGGTATATCTCTCTTCCTTCTTTGTATGTTATTCTCTGGTAACACCTCTAATCTTTGGCACTTTTATAACCTTATTTTGTTGCATGTGCCACAAAACTTTTAACTGAAAATTAAACTCCTTTTTCTGTATAAGCATAATTTCTATGGAAGAGTGAAGGTTGTGCTTGGAGTAGTGAGAAATGTATCAGATCACAGGGATCTGAAACTTGTGTTGCTTCTCTTTTCTTTTTCTTTACCTGGGATGGGGCTGTGCTTCATTGATGCGACGGTGGGTTCTCAGTGAATCGCCCCTGTGTTCTCTTAGTGAACTTCTATCATGTGGCATGCTTGATCTGTGTTTAGCCTTTGGTTCTGATGACATCTGCCTTGTGTGATGGGTGTTTGTTCTTTTGTGTTTCTGTTTCAGAGTGGCTCATTTCTCCAGCACAAGTTTTGGGGGTCCAACACTAGGGGGCAACTTCCGTTCCACCTCAACATCGACTAAAGTCGTCAACGGCAAACGCATTGTCACCAAGAAGTGAGTGTAGAATGTACAGTGAACAAGTTTCGGCATTGTGTGGGATGAGATAATCATCCGTTGTTTAGTAGACAAGTGGCCATCTTAGGCAGGTGGATGTCTTGCACAGTGTTATTATAATGTTTTAAAAAACGCAATGGGGTGGGAAAGAGAAGAGGCTGTTTGTACATGTGATTGTCTTGCACAAGTGGCCATTAAAGCAAGTTGGACTAATTATTTTTTAATGGGAGTGACTTAACCATAAGCACGTAGCATTCACATGAGGTTTTCCAGGAAGCTAATAATGTCTCGGAGTGTTTAGGGTGTACTGGGGCTACAATATATACTGTAAAGCACATGGAGCTTACTGTTGAGCGGAGATATGCATTATATAAATGCTATTTATTACTCATCCAGATCTTTATGAAATTTATGACAAGAGAAGTTATGATGTTGGCATGAGACCTACTGCACCATCAATGGGGGCATAACACACATGAATATTTGAGCTCAGAGGTCCGTGTGTGGTGTTTTACTTTGGTGTGTCATCTCTACCTTCTGTCCTTACTTTTATTTTATTTTTCTCTTCCGTTTTGTTTTTGCCGTTTTGTTTTTGTGAATTAGGATGTTGGCCTCAAAGAAAACGTCCCAACCAATATGATTGTATATGTGGTAAAAGTTAAAACATGATGTAAGTCATGAGATTGTCTTGAGAACATTGAAAAATGATGACGATGTCTTCCTCATCTTGAAGATTTTGTAGTCTTTGTGAAAACCATTCCGTACTTGAATAGACTGAAAGTGTTGCTGATATGTTCATCTTACCTTATGTCAGCGAGTGGTTGGGGGCCCCACTGGTAGGTCCTACTTCTTTGCTTTCTACCTTCTGTTGTTTCTGTCGGTATGTCTTGGTTTTCTTTTTCCACAACATTAAATCATAGTGATAGAATTGTGTCAAAGTGCTTCTCTTGACTCAAACAAACAAAATGGGTGGTTGACAGGTGCTCTGGTCTGGTTTGCTCCTTTTTTCCTATCAGACATCTATCATCCTTTTCTCCCCTCATTTTTTTATGTTTGTTAGTCTTCTGAACACCTCTAATCTTCCACACTGGACTTCTCTGTTGACATCCACTCCTTGGTGCTCATATGACCTAGTGCAGTTGCGAGCGCCGTAAAATCTAATAATGACAATCTTACTAAAACAAAAAACAATCTTTCACACTTATGTGACCAAATAGTGTTGTAAGTGCTGTAAAACTCTTTGTAAAACTATAAACAAACAAAAATTTAAGATGTCTTACATTTAAGCTGCTTTCTCTCCCTCCCCTCCCCTCCCCTTCGTGTTCCCCTCCCAGAGTGGTGGAGAACGGCCAGGAGACGGTGATGATTGAGGAGGACGGAGTCCTCAAGTCCAAGAGCATCAACGGGGTCCCACAAGCCCTGGACGGGCCCACCTCCAAGCCCAGCATCCGCGCCTAACGGGAACTACCGCCCACTACTACCAACACTACTACTACAACAGCCTTTGTTTGTCGCCATCTCTCCTCTCATTCACCCAGTCAGACTGTGACACTTTCCTCCCTCTCTCCCGTGCCGGGCCTCGAGAGAGAACGGAGCTCGCTGCCGGCGATTCTTTTGGTCAAAGCTCCATAGTTTGATATTGTCTCATTTCCTCATTTTCATTTTGTCACTTCATTCTGATTTTTTTTTTGGGTTTTTTTTTTCGACTTTCCCTCATGTACAAGTACTTTGCTTTATTTTGAAATAATTTGAATTTGAACAGTTTTTGTTTGAATTTGCAGGCTGAAAAGCTGTGGTTATAGATGATATTCATTTGGTATATTTAAAGTAATTTCAGAATATTGATGCCGTTTCGTTCTTGTTTTATGCATTTGTAAAATAAATAATTAGAATTAATTTGACACATGGCAAAGCTCATAGCTTTTTTTGGGTTAGCCGTAGCTCGAGTGGAGTTATTTTTTGTTTGTCCAAGAATGAGCCAAAGGTTCAGCCTATGCTCTCACTTAAACTTATTTAGAGGTAAAGGGTTTGTGTGGAGATTTGAATCAAGTTTGTCAAGTTGTAGTTAGGTTGGTTGTTGTCTGATGACATAAGTTCTGTTCTATAAGGTTTGGTTTTTATTTAATTTTGGTCTTTCAGATTCTTCACTTCATTTTTGCAAGAACTGTTTTGGGTTTTTTTTTTTTTTCTTCAAATGTTTGCATATCATCTATAATTGAATTTGATTGATGATGTACAGCAAAGGGACGATTCAGCATCTGAATGAAGATACTTCATCCATTGGGAGCGTATTGTGCCCGTACTTGTCATGTGTACTGAGATATTTGCTTTGTGACTGGCGTAGTAGATGACAGATACAGGAGACCCCATATAGCACTGCACAGCGTGACACAGTGGCACAAAAGTAGGTTGAATGATAGAAGTAGGATTTTCTTGCGTCATCATTTATCATTGCTCAGGAAAGAAAGAAAGCGTTTCCCCTCCACGCAACATTGTGTCATTTTGCCGGTACTTGTGGAAGAAATCCATAGAAAACTATGTCAAAGTAATAATATGTGGTCCCCTTATGGATTGAGTTTTTTTTTTGCTGTGTGACCTGTTGTATAGACCAGTTGCCAACTCAACAATGAAGGTCTTCAATATCCCCTGAAGACTGTGAGATAAAGGGTGAGCCCCCGCCCCCCAATCATGTTTTTTGAACTGTGATTATAATTATCACTTCTTGAGGTGTTGACTTCTCGTGAATTTCATCTACATTCATCTTGGAAACCTGTGAGTGGTGTACATGGTGGTCCTGTGGTGTGACGTGCCTCCGTGTCCCGTGTGGTGTGACATACGTCCTTCTCTTATCCAAGCTAGGGGGGCACCCGGAGAACTGCACTTTAACACTTTTTATCAGGGGTCAGTTTTTTTCTCCTCTACTGATGTTCAAGCCAACTGAACATTCGATGTCATTTTTTTGGTGTTCTCGTTGAATTTTAAAAACAAGAGTCCTGTTTTTTAATCTGAAATGTGCAGTGCATGTCTTGGGATGCTGGAAATGCTGTAGCCCTCACAAGGTGGTGTGGATATTTCTGGAAGTGTGTAGAGCATCCACAGGTTTGCACTGTACTAAGGGGCTGACCCACATTTTGTATAGAACCTTTCGGTTTTTTTCTTTTCCCAGACTATTTGTTCAACCCAAATTCTTCCTCTTACGGCAGCTTCACTTTTCCCTCGAGTCTGTTGTTCAAATGTTTTAGCACAACTAAATGTAGATGTTCCGATCGTTCTAAGTGCAACTGGCCCTTTGCAGACAAAAGAAAATTGAGAGGCCTTTTTTTAAACTTAGAAAAAAAGAAAATGTGAAAAATTGTAATATATACCTTTCTCACTTTTGTACACGCTCATTCTGGAAGTCATCTTTGCATTTGAACTAGAGCAGGTCATTTAACATCTTCATGTTCTCAACACAAGACTGTATCAGTCCCATGAATTGTGATAATGTGTGTGTTGTGAGCTGGAGGTAGTTTGTGTTGTATGCTTACTTGATCCGGTACAGCTACTTTGTTATGCCCGCAAGTAAAATTATATAACTTTATAATATACATATAGTGTTGTCCGTTGTTTGGTCCGACTGCAGAGAGAATATGATGTCCTGAGTGAGTGAAGACAGCCAGTGAAGTCTTGGTGTATTTGTGCTCTCCTAGCCTGACTGAAATCTGAGTTAGGACGAACATATATATTTTTATATATTCTGTATTTTAGTGAAAGACTGTGTGCTTTTTTTAGGCTTTGAAGTTATCCCATAGCTGACAAAGCTTCTGCTCTGAATCTTGATGGTATGTCATGGGGATGCTAACTCCTGGCATAGCCTGTGCACATACCAGTTACACTCACATTATCATGTTCCATCTGCGTATCTTTGAAAACAGGACAAGTCACAATTTTACTTTGTCTGCTTTTCTCAAAACTTACTTAGGCCCCCTCAAAATATCTTTATATCCAATTCGGTTCAAAAGTCAAGGTTAGTCCTATGTAAATGAGTATCGTCTTTGATTTAAACATGGGCTTAATTTCATTTTTTTAAAATGCCTTCTGTAAAATGAAGCTAATGATAGATATGCTGATTACTAGCAACAGGGACAGCTTGATTCCCCCAGTGTCCTTGTTCTGCAGTCACTCACAGAGGGGGCTCGTCTGTTTCCTTACAGAAGCGTTAGTTCCTCCCCTCCCCCCTAGTCTTTTCACTCATGTGGTAGATTGCCATATCAATTTTTCCTTCGACCATTGTTCAATCAATAGAAGTTGAAAGGACTCGCAACAAATAAACAGGAAACAGCAGGTTTTTAGTGATGTGAGGAGAGGTGATGCTGTTTTGTCACAAGTTGTAGTGTCTGTTTCTTTCTTCTGCCGCGTCCCTGTGTACAGTCATACAGTTGTAGCCTTGTTTTCACACTGTTTTGGTGTATATGCTTGCGTTGTCTCTGGTGTATATTGTAGTTTAATTGGTCTCTATCTGTTGTAATTTTATGAAGCAAAGCAAAAAAAAAAGGTAAATATATAAAAAGAACTTGCATATTTCAATGATGTTCATTCTTTTGAAGATATCGAACAGTAAATAAACACATTTGTTCACTGCACCTGTTAGACTTGCGTTAATTTATGATGGACTTAATATATATATACATATACTTAGTTCTCAGTGTGAAGGTAGTTAGAGAGAAAGAACATATCTTTATTTTCCCAACGTCTGTGGTGTAGTGGTTACGCACTTTGCCGACACATGCAGGAGACCTGAATTCTATTCCTGAGTAGGGGTAACATTTTTATCGATTATCTCAGTTTTTCTGTTGGGATGTTGTATCCCTCTCAGTCCGAGTTGGCCCTAATAGGTATGGTGGAAGCCCGCCTTCTAAATGACCTAATTTGAGTCGATGGGTGCATTAAAAACACCTACGTAAAAGTGTTAATATTGGGTCCTTACCAAATTTAATTGATATTTTGTTCATGCTGTGGTCTCTTCTAATTTTGGGAATGAGGGAAACGTCCATTGCACATATAATGGTCCAGAACACATGTCGAACATTTTTTAACCTGGTTCAAATGTGTATGTCGTGATTCTCATTTTAAAAAATGTTTGCGCAGGCTTGTCTTCTCTGGTTTTGACAATTTAGCGAGGCCTGAAGGAAACGGACAGCCAGTGGGTGGGTGGTTGGTGGGTGCTCCAGTGTGGTTTATTTTTTTTTTTTCCAATGAGACATCTGTCATCCTTACCTCTCTACGAACTCCCACAGTATCAAACCCAAACTGGGCCCACTAAAACCTGTGGGCCTCTCCAGAAGAGACAAAGTCATTTTTACTCGATTGCATATTGGACATACTTCCCTGCCAAATAAGTTTCCTCCTGCAGGGAGATGAAAAGCTTTTGTGTTTGATGCGACACAGATTTCACCATTAGTCACTTACTAACAGAATGTCTGGACTTCGGAGAGATCTGACGGAAATAATGTATTTTAAATGTACAAAATTGCAAGATCTGTTCTCCGTTATTGATCCCAACAGAATTCTCGATTTTATGAAGGCCATTGGTCTTTATACAAAGATGTAAATATTGTTATTTCAATGTAATGTAAATTGTTGTTTTATAAGATTCAAATTTTTACTGTAAAATTTTTAAACATTTAATCTAACAGTAGACAGAAACCAAGCCGTGCTGTGAATTGCTGGGAATGCAACCAATTGGTGTTTTGCGTGCTTATATGACCTAATGCAGTTGCGAGCTCCACATACCTCTTACTGGGGCTCCCGTAGCCGAGAGGTTAAGGTGTTCGCCTCTCGTTCTAAGGTCCCGGGTTCGAATCCGGTTATCGACGAGAACATTTTCTTCTCTGAAATTGTCTCCTTTCACTTCCTTTCCTGCTCTCTAGCAATGTTCTGTCGTCTGTTGCTTTCGCCTCCACTTTCTGCCCCCACCTCCTTTGCCCCCTCTGGGCTCTTAACTCTTTCTGCAGCCTTTCTACTGCTACTCCTTGGCTCCTTGTTACTGCTGTCTTTCAGCCACACCCCTGATCTTCTGGTAGGAAAGATCTACACCTCGCCTTCTCGGACAAGGCCGAAAAATCTCGGAGGTCCTGTATGTAAGTTGCGCACTTTAAAGATCCCTTGGTGGTCTAAAATCGATAAGAGTAGGCTTCGGCCGTCTCCCGGGCAAAATTCAAAATTTCCTACCAATGGAAAATGTTTGGTGTGTCCCACGTGCTCATATGACCTTTGGCTGTTGCGAGCGCCGTAAAATATTTAATTGAAAAAACCCCCAGCAAACCCCCCCCCCCCCTTACTAATCTTAACTTACTTCTCCTCCTTTTCTTTGTTTCTTACTCTCAAGTAACACCTCTAATCTTCTGTTCTTGTATGACCACTTTGAGCTGCAGGTGCTATAAAACTCCAACTATAAATAAACCAGTGAGATGTCCTGTCCTGTGTATCGATGTGAGATTATGTCCCTGAACCAAAAGTTTCTTCTGTTTACTCATAGCAGCCGTCAGTTTGAAAAACTCTTTAGAAAATAAAATAAAATAAAAATCCGAAACTGAAACACTGCAATTCTTCCTGATCAAAACTCAGGGATCATAAAGTTCCTAATGCATTGAACTTGTGACTTCCATCATGGTATGTCTCCACCAAAGTAGTAAACAGTCCGCAAAAATAGCACTTTTACTGGCATGCATCTTTGCTGTGCGTGGGATATCTTCTCCAGCCTTTGGCCTGTCTCTGTATACACAATAAGAAACGTTTTGCCTTTGGTATGGAATACCAGTAACCAGAGCTTTTATAAATACTGAGAGCAGAGTTTAGAACCAGGGCTGGGCCAAATGGACTGTGGAAATAGAGTTTACAATTTATGGAGCTCTGCAGGAATAGGATGGTCACTGAAGATGTTTATATGTTTGTGGCTAAGTGGATCTCTGGAGGCTGTAAAATGTTGAGGCAACTCTTTGCCTTTTCTTTACTTAAACTTGCTGAAGTGGTAGGCTATTTTGTTGAGGTTGTGGGAACAGTGTTTGGCTGAGATAAGGGCAGGACTGAACTGACAGTGGTATTTTGTTAACTGCATTTTGAAGATTGCTTGGTATCTAGCAGATTTAGGCTCTTTGCCTTGACTCCAGAAGATGTGTTTGATTCTCATGTGGGGAAGTTGTTTATTAACAATCCCTGTCTTTCTGCTAATACATGTTATAAAATCTAGTAACCCACACTGCCTGGGTTAGTCTTGTCGGTTGAGATAAAAAAAAGACTTCCTCCTATATGATCTAAATCTTATTGTCAGGGGTGTTTAACATTAGCAATCTGTCCACGTTTTTCGCTTAGCCTTTAATATTCTGTCACCTTTTGTAGCAATCTGTAGGTTCTTCAACCCGTATAACTGATTTTTACGTAAAGGTCACGTATTTTCTAACCGGTGAGTTCTGTCTGCTTTTCAGGCAGCCACACTTTTTATATAAACGGACAAAGTGTTTCTTCAGTTTTATCATAGTCATCGCCTTTCTCCTCCTGGATCAGGATATAATAAGCCACAAACACTTTCCACCTTTCCCTATCCTGGGCGAGCCTCTTGATGTTATTCCATGTCCTCCCACTGTTTAGCCAATCAATTTCATGACTCTTCTCCAGGTTCTATGTGGTCTTCTCCTTGATCTTTTGCTCTGTGGATTCCAATCCAATTCTTTCCTTCTTGTGCAGCTGCTCGACTTCCTGAGAGTATGTCCAATTCATGTCTTCAGTTTGAGAACAGATTAATTTTGTTGTTTTTTTCTAACACCTCACTGATGTTTATAGTATAGAGACAAGGCTATTTTTCTTGTGAACAGGAGACAAGTTTGAATCCCCCATTTGGGAAGATATTTTATAGTCTTCCATCTCTGTGTTTAGATACTGTGTCCCTCACACTCATACCCCACCTCTTAGGTGGTTTAAATAGTTTCGATGGAATAAAACATACTGGCATCAGTAATGTAACGGTAAGGAACTTCATTATCTCATGCAGGAGACCGCAGTTCATTTCCTGCGTGGGGAGACTTTTTATTCACTATCTTCTTCTTTCTGCTGGGATATGATATCCCTCTCAGCCCGTGTTGGCCCCGACAGGTAGAGTCAAAGCCCATCCCTTTTATTATCGAAATTGTGTTGAGTGGGCATAAAAAGACCTACATTAAAAGAGACAAATTTTTAATTCTCTCCCTCTTGACCGACCTGAGTCTCAGATTTCTCTGAAACTCAAACAAAGAAAGCAAACACAACAACAGCTGATGTCCTGGTACACACAAAGAGATACAAAAGACATGTTTGGTTTGTCTATTTCACAAATTGTTTTACTTCTCCAGAACATTAAATTATGCATATCAAAGCAACACTGATGATTATCAGATTCCTGCAACACCAAATACATCCTCAACAGAAAACAGTAGTAATTTGATTGTCAGAAATGTTCTCAAGTAATGCCATGTTTCTCTCTTTCTCTCTCCCCATCCCTTCCACACACACAACAAACACACACACACTCACACACACACACTTTTACACACACACACACACACACACACACACACACACACACACACACACAAACACACACACACTCTGTTTATATCATGCACTGTTTTGCTTTGCTTTCTTCATTCTTCCCTCTAAAAAAATGTCTCTCATTTCAGTAGCTGAGACCTTGACAACAGGAAGAACTCATCAATGCATTACATCAGCTTTTCATAAAAACCTGAAATGAATTACATTATCCAGTAAAGAAGGTGAAAGTAAAGGTATTTCTGCATGATGAATTACCATTTTGTTTCAAAAGAAAAGTTTCTATATAATTAAAGCATATTATTATTATAATAAATACACCCTACTTCCCTAGACAAAACTTTTCCAGCAACCTAAAACAGCTACTGAACATTTTACACAGAGCTAACACAAGGAAGAAAAGAAATCTGCCAAAAGGCGAAACTTGATGGGACTTGCTTCAATGGCTACAGAAATAAGATTTTGTAAAACATAAAAACACCTCTACCAACCTGGAAAGCTTAAGGGACTGTTGCTTCATAATTGAAAGTCTGCTACAAGTGCACAATAGCTTCTAATTGATCTAATGATACAAGCAGGCGCCTTATTCAGCGCTAGGAATCCTTTCTTTAACTGGCATCATCACACACACTCCACTCGCATTCCTCATTCCCACCAAATAATATGAGGTAAGCTTGCAGTTTCCATGACAACAACACTACCTACAAGAGCATAAAAATGCAGCTATGTACACCAACATCCGTGGTTCAAAGGAGTACAAGATAATATCCAAGGGCAACATGTTCAAACAAACGATGTGGAAACCAACACACTTACTTACAATTCTCTAAATCACATAAGTAAGATCTTGATAAAAAACTTACAACTGTTTGCAACTCTTAATACCGTTAGTACTCTGATTGTGCCAGCTCGACTGGAAGGGAACTTTTACCAATAACGTTTAATGTTTTTGGTGTACACATACATACCATGGTACCTCCTCTTTTATCTAAATCTTATCACGAATATTCATCTGTTCAAATACTGCCTCCGTCACAAAGAGAAAGTGTATTAGTATTAGAAAAAACATCTCACGTAAACCCAAAACATGTTTTTGCTCGCTGGATACCCGATTTACTGATAGAATTCAGCTTGCAAAAGAAAAGATCAACTCTTTATCTTGTTTCAAATGTTCCAAGTGTCATCTGCAATTCAGAGAAACTTGCCATGAATGGTTTTCAAATTTTAAAAAATGTAAAAAGCAAAGGAAAAAAAAGAACTTATAATAATTACATATATCTATGACTAATGTGCATGCCCCCCCCCCCCACCCCCTAAAAAAACCCCAAACATAGCCATGAATCTAATAATTTTATCTGCTAGGACATTAATTCATATTTTGAAGTAAAGACCGATGTTAAGAAACATACAAGGAAGATTATTCACTGCTTCACAATATACAGATACTCTGTATATGAAAATGTTTTTTAGATCATGTTAATATATTCATTATCTAAAGCAAAAGACCTCCTCAAATATTTTTACGCCTTAATTGAGTGAAATCACATCCTTGACCATCAATGACTTATTTATAGAGGCACCAGCCATCCATGCCCAGGTGCTGTTTTAGCCAGAAAAAAATCACATCCATAAACAAAAGAGTTGTTTTTCTCAAATAGACAACCAGATGAAGTGACCTACAGACATGACAAATGTCTCCACGACATTGAATGCTCAGACTGCACACCAAATGCCTGCACTCTTCATCACATCAGAAACACATGCAAGCAGTACGATAAAGTACAACAATACAATAGTATGGCACATGACAATAACAGCCAGATCTGTACATCAATGAAATACTGTCAAGGAAAAAGTCCGTGGTGGGTGTTTAGAACACGACAAGAAACTGAAAAGTCCTCTCTCTATACCTCTTTGCCATCAGGGGGGAAAAGCTTACCGCATACACTTAGAATAGGTCATATATTCATAAAGGTTTCAAAGTAGTGAAATGTGTAGGGCCTGCAAAAAAAGACGCACACAAAGCAATGTTTGCTCCACATGAAGAAATAAGAAATAGTTAATGGTTTTCTTACAATTATCTCTACCAAGACTTCAAATAAATTTATTTTCTCCTCATATGTGAATAGTATCAATTAGAAAATCATTGATATTATGCTAATAATTAGCTACATCACTTATTGTGTCAATCTCTCTGTTTTTCCATATATGTCATAGATAGTCTTTGAATCCCACCAAAAACTTGTAATCCTTTTCCAAAACCATGGAGCTATTATAACAAAACAAACATGAAATCATGCTATGAGAGCTGGGAAGCCATGACAAAGTATGCTATTTCATATTTAAAGTTGGAATATCCTGGCAAAAAAAAATTTAAAAAATGGCATACAGGCTGAAGGCTTTTCAACTTTCGATGATAAAACTAATAAAACCAGGACTGCCATTCTATGCTTGGACCTGAGAAGGCAGGATGATTGTTACAGCCAAAAATGACAGAGGCACAAGTTCATGGCTACACACAGAGTATGCACATAATATGTAATCTTCTAGCAACCTCTATAAACAGAGGAAAATATAGGCTGAAAACTAAACAACAAAATGGCTCAAACAGTCAAACTGTCTGATTTCAATTTTCTCACCTTATTCGTTTGTTGAGAAAACATTACATTTTCTTTCTAAAAGTGTTTAAAACAGACCAAACTCGATGTCAGCACACAAACTTGACTTTCCGTTCCATTTTGAAGTCCAATTTTCATTCTGACAGTTAGTACGGCATACACCAACCACCTTCAAATAATTACTTGAAAAACAAAAAGCAAAAACAAAACTAGAAGACAGTGGGTAATATGCCTGATCAATTATGTATCACTTCCAACACACACAAACAAAATAACCTTATATTATTTACATTCTGTAACACAAAATAAAAAACAAAATGTATCTTTTAAAAAATCCTAAGTCTTGAATGTCAAGTTTCCAGACCAGTGTTCAGGACAACATCGCATTAGTTGATGAAAAGTACGAAAACACATAATTATTTTGAACAAATGCATTCGACATTCATTCTGCCATTTGATGAGAGGTACAAAAAGTGGGTTAAATGGCAGGGAACAAGTTCCCAGCCCATTCACAGATAATGCAACAGTTACACTGGACAATTTGTACATGGTACAGTAATGACTAGATCTACTGGCTAACTCTTTGTGCTACAAAACAATGTCTGGCAACTGATTGTAGGTCCCTACCAGTCTCTTGTCGCTGAAATAACAACGTTAATTAAGCTTTCTTTATACAGTGGTCTCTCCCTGGATATGTGGAGCCAAAGAGGGGCCATGAAGCATGCTTTTCCGAGAAACATTTCATTTGCATTCAAGTATACCATAAACATAAGTGCCTGCTTGTCCAGAGATGTCATTATTGTCTATTTCTTTCACAAATTGTGTATTTGTGAGTGTGTGTGGGTGTGTGAGTGTGTGGGTGTGTGTGTGTGTGTATGTGAGTGTGTGTGTGTGTGTGTGCGTGTGCGGCCAAATTTCTCCCTCTACAATACTACACAAGTGTGTCATGGATCAGGCCATTACAAGACACTTACTCACTCCCACATTCACTGTAAAAAGTTTTGCTGAAGAAAACATTTGTTAGAGAAAGTGTTTTTGTACACATATGTTCAGATCATAAACAATCCGATTTGTGACAAAAGGATGCAGTTGAGTGGATCTCATATTTACCTATCATGCATTTAGGAAGAGGCTACTGTATAATAAAAGATGATATGTATAATAGCCAGTAGTTTTTCCTTCAGTTGAGTAGAGTACATTAACATTTCAAGTCAGGCAGGCTACAGGAAAAGATTTTATGTAAAACCAGCTGAGCTTCATCTAGGGCAGCTGTTTCATGACTTTCACAATAGTGCCTACCAAATAATCCTATTTAAATCAGAATCTAAAGAGAACTAAAACTCATCAGGGTTTAGAACAAGATGCTGCTGTTGTTTCTAGTCTCCTGATCAACAAAATTGAAAATTCAATAAATATTAGTCTGCTATTTACATCAACAACACATTACTGTCCAGCCAGACTATCACACTCTCTCTCACACTCACAGAAAACACAAATATACACGATAAAAAAACCCTCTCTAACTAACCAGCGAATAACTGTCCCAAAAAACAAGTCTAATGTATTTGTGACGTAATATCACATCACGTGACACACATAGATTAGACATTCTTTTTAGCGGGTCACTAACAAAATGCTGCACAAAAATTGAAATCTGTTGGTTTGTGTGCATACTTGCACTGATCGGAAATCTACATAGTGTAGAATAAATGAGAATTCATAATAGAATATTTTATCTAACCGCTAAGAACTGTATAAAACACCTTTGTAACAGACATGCAACTCCGTATTATCAAAAAGTTTCTAAAATTAATTTTCTAAATGTGCAATGAACAGACTCCAGTGAGCTAAACAATGGTGTAAAAAAACAAGCCAGTGAAAAAGACAAATAATACACAGTACATCAAGCTTTTCCCCTCATTGAAGCTGAATAGTTAGAGACAACAATAACCAAATTCTTTAGCTCACTGATTGTAGCATCAATTCAGTCGGCCTAGATTTCAATCACAATTGCCATCAACAATGCATCACTTGTTATGAGTTAAAGCTGAAACATGTAAGTATCAAGGGGTGCGACATCTTTGGCTTGACATCATTCATCAATCAAAGTGGAAAAAAATCCAAAACAAAACAAACTAAAAAATAAACCCCAACAAAATTTAAAAACTCAGCAAAAAAGTTATATTTTCTGACCCAAAGATTCCAAAGTTCTTTTTCTGGAGAATTAGCAATAAAGCTCTTTTCCCCAGTCAAATAACTACAATTATTTTTCTGATCAAACAACTCAAACTTTAAAAAAATGGTATGTACCATTGTCATTATCAGCAGGTACTGCATAAACATGTCTAATGACCTGACTCAATCTGAAAAAAAAAAAACATCACACAAATATTGATTACACTTATTGTTACACAGAAATATTGGTTACTAGATCTAGAAAAAGAACATGGTTGAAAAGAAACCCTATAGCTATCTAATGTGGGACTTGCTTGTCATGTAATTATCACAAGGAGATAAATTACTAAATGATTGATTATGCAATATCAGATACACCCCCATCCCCCATTAGTTACAAAAATATGGTACCACATACTGTGTTAAAAATCACACAAACGTACACAGACTAACTTTGAGTAAAATGATGACACTTTCTCTATCACCAAAGTGATTCCTTGATCAGCACAAATATGAGCAGTTCACAATCAGAATTGTTGCGAGACTTCACCAGTCATGGAGTAAACCAGATACACAGAGGACAAGTAAAATAGACTTCATATTATGCTGGGATACTTAGAGTAAAATACAAAAAGTTTTGAAGAACTGTAACACAGACTTAAACAGACATCATTTTGTAGTGAAAATGAAAACAACAAATTTTTCTTTCAATAGAGGCTAGCCTTCACATTAACATGTAAGCTGAATTTCATCATAGGCTTGTAATTTTATGGATGAAGAAGGGCAGTAAAAATAAGTGCAAGAGGTAAAAAAAATAAAATAAAAACAACAAAAAGTGAGAAAAAAAACCGCAAGTTGATTGAAGTGTAAACAAAAGAATTCATAAAAATTAAAGCTGTTAGCAAAAAACACAATCAAAAGTCAATGAGAGACGAAAGAAGAGCTGATGGGACAAGGCTCTGGGACATACGCAAATAAATTAAAGCTGCTCTTATCTCTAAATGAGACCCCAACAGGGTATGGCTCCTTTGAAACAACATTTCCTCATGGTGCTAACCTTTTGGTCTAAGTCGTACTTTCTGCTGTAGAGATATCACCAAAAGATATTCTCATTTGCTTAGAGTTGGCAGTTCATAAAAAACTTTCTTTTCGTGTTTATATTTTGGTTACATCTGAATAGACATATATGTCTGTCGCAGATCTGGCACTGGATGACGATGATGATATATTGGTTCCTTTTCACAAAATATAATAATATGAAGACATGGGGGCTAGCTCTGGGACTTGCCTTTCGGCTAATTTAGATGTCAATTAAGTCTGACTTAGGCTGAAAGGTTCGCAACATAAGGATTTGTCCCTCCTGCATCATAGAGTCATGCAGAGCACAGTCACACTTACTTTCCCTTGCTCAAGCAGCTACACAACATTACATTTACAAACTTGTGTATTTCACTTCTGAACCCTCTTTATCCTCCAGAAACATTTGGTAACATTTTATGAGACACAGACCTTGAGGAAAAGTGTGTCATGGAAAACTTTGAGAAGAAAGTTCAACACATTGAGTGACATGGTCAGTTCTGTGTGATGGCAATCAATACTAACATTTGTCATCAAAAAATCGCATCCCCCGTGATGATACAAGCTTTTCCTAGAGAGGTAGTTCTCAGTGCACGTATCAGTACGTTCCACACATTCACACTGGGACATTGCAACACAGGTTAAGGCTACACTGCAACTCACACAAAATCAAACTCATTATAAAAAATTCCCACAATATCACAATTATTTCTGAAATACAGTCAAATCTTCAAGAATACACTGTACTGTTAATACAGTAGATTGACCCAAGGGCAAGAACGCACGAGTCTGTCAACTTACAACAGTCACTTCAGTCAAGAACATCACTCACATACATACAGGCCCACAAAAACTGATGGACAAGAATCAAAAAGATCCATACATGCAATATAATAACATACCACATATAGAACTCTCTGACCCAGGGCCCACAAAATGGGGCAATATCTGCCAGAAAAACACTTATGTTGCACATTATAACCCCACTGGACCACATGAACCTCTATCATGCAAACAAATCTTTCCAACATTATTATATCTCACCCATAGTCCTGTCTCAAGCATTTTTAACTCAAAAGGGTGAAATGCGTGACATGATGAGATATGTAATGAAGAGATGGGATTAAAATGATTCACAAACTATATGTGCTTCTATTTTTTTGGTCAAAGTAATGAGTATAAAAGTAAAAATGAGAAAAAGAAATGAATGTACTCTATAAGAAAAAGAAATAAAGTAATCAATTAAGACGTTCCTGAGTATCTGCGCTCCAGATATTTATAAATAGAACTCTACGAAATGAGCAGTTAATGACATAAATTTATCTCTTGAACACTCACTCTTCTGACATGAATTCAGAAATCCTTCAATGCCACTCATTCACATATATATAGAGATGAATGACACAAACATCTCTCAAATTCGAGCATCATCACTCCGTCAATATACATTTGGTCAGCCAAATACTATAACAAATTGTATCCAACTAAAACCATACATGCATGCATGCTTGCAAGCACACACAACACAGACACACACACAGACACACACACACACACACACACACACACACAATTACGAACACACAAAAAAACTTGTCCTCACTGTCACAACTTCCATAAAACTCTCTGTACCATCACACTCAAGAAACAGACCAGTGCACACACAAACGGTGTCAACAACAGTCTCGGCGAGCTGTTGGGGTCTCCGCCGTGCCCCTCTTCTGAGCTGAGGGGGTTCGGATCCAGGGTGACTGGGGGTGGGATGCTGGACCGTTCCATCGCAGCGGGGAGCAGGGGGGACAGGACCAGGTAGGAGGCGAGGTTGGGGCTGCCCAGTTTCATGAGGTTGTAAAGTCGACCCGCCTCTGTCTCACAGGCCTCCACCTGGAACACATGTGCCACAACAGTCGTTATTTCAAAGTAGTGAAAAAATAAACAGAAACTTGGATATAAAGCTGTCCCCACGGTTTTATGCACCTCGCATAATTTAGCAAAATTTGATCATTTTTGGCATAATTTCTGATTATTTTCCTTTATCGTTCTTTGCTAAAATTAATGGAATCACATAATTTCACATTTTTTGGCTCAGTTTGCATAATTTCAAATTTTTTTGGGACATAAAATCGCAGGGACAGATAAAGGTTTAAGAGACAAATATTAATATTAGTCATTTCAAAATTGTCACCTATCTTCAATCTAGGGGCTACACCCAGAACATGATAGAAAAGAAAGGAGCTAATAATATTATAAGGGCTAAAGAATTACATAACCAGAGCAAATGAGAGGGAGTAAAATTTAATAAGGTGGTCGTGCAATCAGCACGTCCTTGCATCTATATAATGTATGTATGGTTGTGATGGTTCTCCTTTATGTGGTTGAACTGGCTCTTCTTGTTACTGTGAAATATTTTACCTTGTGTGAATGAGTCATTACTTTTCAGCGATCATGTGATTGATGGAAAGCCCTCAGAGCTTTTACTTGTATGGGACGGAGCGCTATATAAATGCAACATATTATTATTATTATTATTATTATTATTATTATTATTATTATTGTCATGCTAAGGAAAAAATTATTTCTATTTCAGGACAGACACAATAAACAAATTCAACCTCACACCAATTTCAACAGTAAATTTTCAATTAACTGATATATAGAGACTACAAAAAAAATAATAATTTGTATCTAGTTTTAATTTCACTTCACAAGAAGATGGGCAAGCTACAGGTGTTAAGAACTGACCTGCACCATAGTGGCTGCTGGGACCACCGGGGCCACAATGACCACCAGCTCCCCATTGACGCTGATGTAGCCAAAGACGTCACACTCCTGGACCGACACCTGGTTAGACAGAGCGTTGAGAACATCCATGGCAGAAACGGTGCGCGATCGTTGGTGCTCGGCCACCGCGTTCATCAAACGGGGGTCCCACAGAAGGGTCAGTTGTGTGGCTGATTGACAAAAGGGCAGAAAAATAATGAGGAGGATAATCTAAGTAAATGTGGATGTTTAACACACAAACACGGACATTTTAAAAGCAAATTGACTATTAAATGCTAGAAAACAATGTGGATATTTAACACACAAGCACGGACATTTTAAAAGCAAATTGACTATTAAATGCTAGAAGACAATGTGGATGTTTTAAACACAAGCAAGGACATTTTAAAAGCAAATTGACTATTAAATGCTAGAAGACAATGTGGATGTTTAACACACAAGCACGGACATTTTAAAAGCAAATTGACTGTTAAGTGTAATAAGAAAAAAACAGATGTTTTAAACGCAAACAAGAACATCTCAAAGTCAGTTGACTGCTTAGTGCTAAGACTCCACCATACACCATTTGGAAAAATGAAGAATGACAGTCTTATGCCGAGCAGTCGGAACGAGAATAATTTCAGAAATCAGTGACGTTAGAATTTAAACATCTTCATTTATCCACAGATTGCGTTCACTGTCTGAAATTATCTTCCCTAAGTTAGGATTCAAAACGTCTTCTTTTATCTGCAGACGTTCATTGTCTGTAACTATTTTCCCAAAGTCATTGAAGCTTATATAATTATATCCTACTACTAGACAAGAAAAGAAGCAAAATGTCCGGTCAGACACCAGCCAGCTGCCTGCATCATCAGGATTAAAGACAGCCTGCCTAGTCAGTCATCTCCTTTCTCCTTCATCATTAGCCTATCATCAAACAGTGCACACAATCTATTATATAATTATTACCTTCTTTTTGTTCTCAGAACTTAGGCAACCACCCCCTCCCCTCCCCAAACACAAGACATAATGTAGGTCATTGCGCTGAGAGGAATTATATTTCAAGATGGACACAACAAACGATTTTGACCCCTACACGGGTATGAAACGTTAAAAATAATTTGCTGCAATTTACTAAAAAAGATTTTATCTTTACCTCGGTTAAAGTCAACCTCAAGACATGGTAACAGTGCTAAGGTTGGAGAACAACAAAGACCAGTATCTAAAACACCAAAGGAAGTAACAAAGCCTATAATGGAGTACAAACAGAATTGTGGGGGCTTACTACATATAGCACAGCAGCCTCCCGGGGGGACGATGCCATTGCAGTTGCTAGGAGACAAGGGAGGGCATTGGATCCTGTTGCAAGATGGCGTCTTCATGGCTTCTCCAGCTGGTGGCAATAAAAAATCTCCCATAAAATAATAACAAATTACATTTAGGCCAATATAGCACATTTTTACTGGGAAAGTGCTCAGTGTGCTTTGAAATAACATAAATAACATAGTTCCAAAAGTATTCCTTTCTCTCTCTCGTCTCTCTTCTTAATATGAATATGTTGCTTGCAGAAATGTGGTTTCAAATTTGTCCATATGGATAACTGAAGCAGTACCTACTTGAATTAACAACAAAAAAGTCATACAAATGAACACCAATTCCTTGAGTCCAGAAAGAACAAATGTAGCCATTTAAAATTATACCTGTAAGATTGCGAACAAATTAAATGAAGACTGCTTTCTCAACCCTATCCATACGCCTAGGGTCATTTTGTACACCCGGGGTTGTATACTTTACGTTTTAGAATACTTCTAGTACGAAAATCTCTTTGAAACTTTAAGTATTTCTCAAAAAATAATTTTGACAGACTGCTATGCAAAGCGTACAGATCGGATTAATGAGTAAATTTCCTCTTTGGAAAGTGGTGGCACAGAGTTCCCCACGTCGTATGGATACGATAGTAAAACACGATGTGCGGATAGGGTTAAGTTCACTATGAACTAAAAATCCGTTGACACTTACACATACCGGTGAGATTGCCAAAAGCCTGGCACTTGCTCGCGTAGTCCACGGTGACCCGGGCCGCGTGAGCTGCACACTCACTACCGTACGTCTGGCCGTCATGGCCGCACACCACCCCGATGTTGGAGCACGATGTCTGCATGAGGGGGAAAAAAATCATCATATGAGTCTGAGAGTGACACACCGAAATATTATTACAATATAGCTGAGTAAGAAACCCTTATAAGCAAAGCCAATTTGAAAAAAGAAAAGGTCAATCAGCTGGTCAGATATACTGACCCCCAAAATTTTGACAATTGCTTATTTCAATTTTTGTATCTGTGGTATCGATTTCATATGCTTTTAAAAATATCTTGTCAAAATTCCAATTTTTGAAAAAAGCAAGAAAAGGTACGATACCTAATATGGCATACAATTTTTAAAAGAATGAAACATTTTTTTTTCTTTCTCCCCCAAAAATTATGCTTTCCAGGCTTAGAACAGTTTAACAGCTTGCCAATGATAACATGCATTCAGCTTTAATGAATCAGTCTGACCTGGCAGTGTCCTCTGTAGGCCAAAGTCTGTCCGTGGGAGAAAAGCAGACAGAGGTTGGTGAACTCCTCCCCGCGTGTGCTGCAGGCCGGCTCGTGGTGGTGTGGGTTACACTGGTCTGTGTCGTCAACTGAAGAAGAAAGTCGCACAACAGCGTTAAAGCTTGTGGTTTTTCTCTTAGTTTTTAGTTTTAGAAGAAGTTTTACTGCCCTCGCAACTGCATAAGGTCATATGAGCGTCAGAAGATTAGAGGTGTTACAAGAGAGTAACAAACATTAAAAAGAAGAAGGGGAGATAAAGATGACAGATGTTTGATAGGAAAGAAGAAGCAAACCACATCAGAGCATCCGCCAACCACCCACGGTTTTTCTTTAAAGTGTGTTTACATCCGCATGAACAGTTTAGATTGTTTAAGAGGCAGGCTTCTGATCTTGCTTGTCAGAGTCAGAGCCAACCTGGGCTGAGAGGGACATATCCAAGTTGAAAGGGAGAAAGGCAGAGGCAATACTTCAAAGGAGACATCCCACATGGAAAATTCGTCATCAATACTAATGAGTATTATTCCACCCTATGGAGAAAGGAACTATTTGAACTGTTTGAATCTTTCATCCTTACTTTAGACGTTGGGGTAGGTGGATCTCAGAATCATCATCATCATTAATGCCTTTCCCCCCTGACAGGGTATAGGCCACATACAAGCTCCTTCCATTTATCTCTATCCTGGGCCATCCTTCCTAGCTCATTCCAAATTAGCTTCATATCTCTCAAGTACCTTTTCACACATCTCCTTCATGTTTCCGGTGGCCTACCCCTGCCTCGTGCTCCCAGTCAGTTCTACTACAGCGACTGTCTTGTGATGTTTCCACAGGGCTTTCTTAAGGTATCTCAGAATCAGTACTCTAAAAAAACCAAATAAGTAGGAGACTCACCACACTGGAACTGTGGGCAGATCCTCCCTGTGAGGTCGTTGAGACACACCTGAGGGCGAGGCACACACCTGAACCCTGACGGACACGGCTTGTGCGAGCAGATGTCTCCGTTGTCACACGTGTTGTACGTGACTCCAGCACACTTGGCGATGCACGTGTTGGGGTACGTTTTGCCGTTCGTCCCACACACAGGGTGGTAGTCTGTGGGGCAGTTTCCTGGCATTCCTGTGGGCCGAGTGGTGAAGACAGATTGGATTATTGTTACAAATACATTCTGGATATCTTTTCAGAACAATTTTTCATTTTTTTGGTGTGTGAGTTTGTAAATGTATGAAAGCAGCTGAGATTGTTTATTTCCATTGTGGAAAAAAAGTAACTCCCAGATTTTTCTTCTCAACTACAGATAATCATAGTCAAGTAACTGCTGAAAGTGAATATCTATAGTTTGTTGGGACTTGCAAAAACTTATGACTGAGAAAAGTATGACCATGAATATGTCATGTAAATGTGAGCCCTGGGTGTCAGAAACTATCAGAAATTTCTCTCAGGTACAAAGCTAACCGTCACCTGTGTAAAGAGGAGAACGAGCGTCAGGTTGGCAGGACCTCCGAGCACACAACAATTTGCCACTTTGGCACACACACGGGTTGCCATCAACCAGGAAGTGATCACCATGTTCTGGGAATAGAGTTAAATGTCAAATGACGCAATCATGTACATTAACCACAGTTTACAATTCAAAAGTGAAACACTGAAAGAAGAGAAAAATGTGCAGATAACTTTGCATGAGAACAGACAGGAAACAATACAATGACAATTTGTATCATAAAACAAAATGAAAGAAATAAAAACAATTTGTGAAATTAAACCTGTCAGAATCAGGTAGAGCATTATATAATATACTATAAATAAAATTCCAAACAAAAATCCTGGTTAACTGAAGATACTTTAACATTTTCCAAATCCAAAAATCTCTCACCTTTCCTATTCTCATGACCCAGCAGACATGAGTCTCGTCGTAGACACGTCAACGACTTGCAGTTTTCAATCTTTCCACGGCTGCTGCACTGACATGCCAAGTGGCACTCTTCTTGGCTCGATGGCTGAGAGTCTGGGTTAGCCAGGCGCACTGCGGTGCCTTTAGGGACCAGAACCTGAGACACCTGTCCTAACGGGCAAGCTGGTGGGAATAGAGAAAGAATAAGAAAATGTACTTTCTGAGAAAATTAAGACTACAGGGAAAATTAAGCCAACTTTAACAGAAATAACATACAGTAATATTTTAAAAAACAAAATTGACTTTTAAGTATCCAAATTATCTTAAGGTTTCTGTTAGAGGTCCAGTAATAACTCGGCAGTTACACACACTTTCTATAAATATTTAAATTCTCTCCACATGTCTTTTCGTATCCCAACTCTTTTTCTCTGCCTAATTACACTTCAAGGTGCATTTATTTATTCCTCACTGTACCTCTTCCAACTTTATCATTTGTTTCTATGTGATTGTCTTCACTATCATAAAACCTCATAGGGTTAGCTAGAGACCATGTGCGTGCGAGTGTGTGTGTGTGTGTGTGTGTGTGTGTGTGTGTGTGTGTGTGTGTGTGTGTGTGTGTGTGTGTGTGTGTGTGCGTGCATGCGCAAGCATACAAATCTAACATAACACCCAAAGATAGCATACCATACCTCGTTTTTCCCTCTCTATTCTATGAACATTATCATTCTAATGTGCTTCCCTATGACTCAATCAAGTGAAGCAGAACTGTTAGTGTAAACCCACAATCTGATGATACATAACAGCCAAAGACAAAAGCTATAAGTCATATATGGACAAACTCATGCAAGCGATCCTACCTTTGTGGCAGACGTAAGGCAGACACTGGTGGGACGACTTGCACTTGCGACGTTTGAGCAGACAAACCTCGTCCTCCGCACAGGGGCTGGGGTTGCAGGGGTGGTGGACCTCTCCGAGCTGGTGGGAGTGTGGACTCTCAACTGAGATACAGGAAAATGTCCAAAAATCAATATGAAAATGGGTAATTTTAACTGGAATACAGTAAAATATCAAATTATCAATATGTGTCACGACGCGGTGGAATCAGGTGCTCGTCAATTTTTGGACATGTGGAGTTATTGGTATCGCTTTACAGCTTGTTCATTAGTCTTGCTTTTGGGTAAAAAAAAACAACAGCTAATTAATCATGAATAGAAGTGGAGATATTTGCGATTGAAGGAGGAGGGGTTTATGAGATAAAATTTGCGAGAAAATGGCCGCCAAAGTTTGGTAACTTCCAAAGCTTGAAAGTCCTTAGAAACTGTAAATTTACATTTTTGAGCCTTAAATCAACATTTTCTTAAAGTGAAATCCAAACAGAAATGTGTTTTTAAATGGACCATAAAGGTGTTGAGTCTAAAAACAAATCGATGAAAATTGCCAACGGACAGAAAAATGTCAATTTCTTCAATTTCTTTCTTTTGATAAGCGCCTGATTTCACCACGATGCATCCCATATGAGAATGGGGAATTCTAACTGGAACACAGCAAAATATCAATACAAGACTCTAGACTAGAACACAGTACAATAACAATATGAGAGTAGGGACTCTCAACTAGAATATGGTACAATTTCAAAATATCAATACAAAAGTGGGGAATTTTAAATGGAATACAGTAAGATAATCAATATAAAAGAGGGAATTCTCCATCAGAATACAATAAAATGTCAATACAAGAGTGGGGTGTTAACTGGAACACAATGACAGCAGTTTTCCTGTACTTGACTGATATTTTGCCTATGCCCCAAAACAATTTTTTTCTTTCCCGCATTAGTTTCATATTTCCATTCATGAAGTCACGGCTTAAAAAAACAACAAAAAAACAAAACATTAAAAGGAATGAAAAGACACACTGAACTTTTCAAGTTTGAAAAAAATTATGTGTCCTTTCGAAGTGTTCAAACAATAATAATAAGCTATTCTTTCCTGAATACTTACACAGGTAACTTTCCATGGAGACACAGGCCCCTGGGGTAGATTTTGAAGGGAGAGCATTGCACAGGGCTGGCACAGTCTTGTCCCCTGACAGTTTGGAAGCATCTCCACATTTGGTCAGAATGAAAAGACAGTCTTCCCTGGAGACAAATATGTCAGAATCACAGATATGTCATTTGCAGTGGATACGATTTCAAATCCCAATACTGAAACTTGATATAACGAATAACACTCTTAAGATTCAAAGAAATATGAATAAATAACGTTTCAAAAAAAACCCCTGAGAAGTACATTTTATACATACAAAGTCTAAAACAACATTGCTCGAAAAAAAAGAAAAATATATGCTGCTAAGCAAAAACAATTACCTTTTGTGAGTGTGTGGAAAAATAAAAGTCAGTTTATATTAAGTAAGGTGTACCTATCTAAAGGTGAAGTATCTGATGATAATGGTTTGACTTACTTGCACAGACTAAAGAGACTCAGCTCAGAGCTACACGGTTTGATCTCCAAGGCACAAGCAATAGCTTTCCACATCTCTGGCACACACTGGCTAATATCTGTACAAATAAGAAGGAAAAAAATTCTTTTTAATAAGAAATAAATGGCTTTGATTAATTTTCATTCCTAGGCCTCTACTACTGTGAACAATGAGGCGGAGGCAGAGAAAGGGAGAGTGGGCAACAGAAGAAAGAATAGGTGGGGGTGGGGGTGGGGGGGTTCGTGGGGGGGGGGGGGGGTGACCGTCACATGGGCTACTTAATTTTTCTTTAAATCAATGGACATTTAGTTGGTGGGAGATGGTCCTCACTACAGAACAATGTTATATTATGATAGAACTGTTGGTTTAAACCCACAGAGCAAGTGAAGATGTACAATGTCCATCAACCACCTGCAAGTTAAAGAGGAACCCATAGAAACATTTATGGTCCCACAATGCTGATGAAAGAACACAATGGCAGAGTAATGAATAAATGGAAAAGAAGAAATGATTCACACCTTTGACAGGAATGGTGATATGAGGTAGAGAGATTTCTCCATTCAACCACGTCATGTACGTGCGCCGTGCAGCACTGTCAGCCTCAGGTGAACAGCTGCGGAACAGCTCGGTGGGACGATGGTTGAAATTGCTGCAAAACTTGAGACCTGAGCACCCAAGTTTACACGGCTGATCCACTGTAACACAGCAACAAAAAAAGAAACAATCACTTTTAACGTAAAAAGACACCAACGCACTTAAATGAAAAAAATGAGTATGTTTCAATGAATAATAAATAAGCAGATAAGTTTCACCCCTTCCCCAGACATGTTTGGATTTGCTACGATAAATACCAGTATGTTTAAATTGAAGAAAAACAAAAGCGGGGGGAAAAGATATCATACTGCAGCAGAAATTAACAGGGTAAACGGGTATACAAATACTTTTAAAAGGAGAAAAGATCAGGCCTAATAAAACAAGTTGTGGGTTAAAAAACAATGAACCAATGTCAAAATCTTAATACACCTTCACAATAAACACTCTTTTACCTTTAATCTGTTGCCACATTACCTCTAAAATTAAATCTTTATCTCTAATAAATTCTACAAGAAATTAATCTAAAAATGTGTCAATAACAAATATGATTTTGTTGTATGTCCTTTGCATCTTGAGAAATGATCTTAAAGCAATATGCACAAAACAGTTTTACATGGGTTGTAGATTGTCCAAATACTGCTTCCCTGATATGCTACAAAGGTGTGACATGGTATATACATTTGAAATCAGGGAAGGAGTAAGGGTGTGTCTATTCTATGATTTTGTAAGATTGTGAAATATAGTTTAGTTTAAGTTGAGGTTTTACGGTGCTCACAACTGCATAAGGTCATATGAGCCCCAGAAGATTAGAGGTGTTACAAGAGAGTAACAAACATAAAAAAGAAGAAGGGGAGATAAGGACGATAGATGATTGATAGGAAAGAAGAAACAAACCAAACCAGAGCACCCGCCAAACACCCACTGTGAAATATAAGTTCAATGCATGAAACACAAGAGTCAAGAACTGTACCGTCAGTGAGACAGCTGTGCATGTTGGGCTCCACGGTAGACACAGGCTGCATGTAGGAGCAGATACTCTCAAACTCCGAGTGGTACCACCAGCCTGTTCTGAACGTCTGTTTGAGAAGGATACAAAAGACAAAATGTTAGTTTTAGTTTTAGGAAGAGTTTTACAGCCCTTGCAACACAATAAGGTCATATAAGTGCCAAAGATTAGAGGTGTTACAAGAGAGTAACATACACAAAAAATAAGGAGGAGAGATCAGGATGATAGATGTTTGATAGGAAAGAAGGAGCAAACCACACTAGAGCACCCACCAACCCAAAAATATACAACCGACCTACACATTTAAATAGTAAAAAGAAAGACAAGCTTGCTGCACAAACAATTGCCCAATTGAAACTTGCCTGACTCATTAACTATGATATAAGAGACTAGACCTATAACTTAAAACAGACATCACAATATGTGAGGCTACAGACCTGTGTGCAGAGCTCCCTACAGCGGCTTGATGTGGCTTTGCTACAGCACTGTAACTTGGCGTTGTCAATGCGGGACACGGGAGCAGTCTCGTTCTTCCTCACACTGGGGTTTGTCAGGAAACACTGCCACAGCGGGTCCTGGTGGGAAGAACAACAAGAAACATTGTTAACACATCAGTTTCTTTAGGCAAAATGGTTTTCCCAAAGCTCACTTCCGCCAAAAGACCAGTATTATGACACAGGTCTTAATTAAGAGACAAGCTTGCCGTATACAAAATAATGTTTGTTGTCAGAAACAAATATTGCTAAATGGTCACAGTCACTTTCCCTTCTCTCCAAATCCTTCAATTTGTTCATACATTGGTGTCGTTCCCCAGAGCAAAGGTTTCAATATATGCCGCTGTAAGGAACATTAAATGCAAGCGACATCAAAATTTTAGATCTAAAAAATGGGACTGCCTAATAATGATCACAACAAGCCTTACAAGAGACAGGATTTTTCCCAGATTTGACATGTGGTGTCTTACCGTAGGTTGAGGGGCTGAGCATGCCTGGATGAGCTCATCAATGCGGTCATTTTCTGACATGACCGTACGCAGCACACTGCGACAAGTTGACCGGCAGCGTGACGTCTCCGCATGCTCACAGCATGGCATAACTGTGGGAAAGACAGACACAATCATTTAAGACAGACACAAATATTTAGTATGAAACTTTTAGGACTCAGGACTTGTTATATAAAAAACAAAACAACATGAGATGGATTATCCATTTTATGTGATCAAGAGAACAGGACTTATTTCAAAACAAATAATTTTTTAGATAAAACACTTGGACATGGGCTCAATGGTTTAAGAGCAGATTCAAACCAGGGTCATCCACTCCACAGCCCAGCAAGGTACAAGCTGAGCTAATGGTCGACACACACCGCCTCTTCAACATCTACACCACACTCAGTGCACCATCCCCTTTGATATTTACAGTACATTCAGTGAAGTAATAGTAACAACAGTTCTCTCAGTGATGTCTGATGATGACAAATGCATCTGCGGAGGAGTATATTTCTTAAACTATATAGAAGTAATAAAGGTCAAGATGATTTAGTGGTATTGGTGGTGTACTAGTTAGGCTACTGGACCCGTACTCGTGAGACTGTGGGTTCAGGGTTTCGAGCCTCAGCTCGGTCCAATGTTGTATCCTTGGGAAAGGCACTTAACAATAATAGATAGCATTTGTATGGCGCAAATCCCCGCTCAACAGCAAGCTCTATGCGCTTCACAATCTATACTATTACCCCAGCAGACCTAAGAGCATTCTCAAACAACCTCAACTTCCTGGGAAGCATAAATACAGTTTACACGAATTTCCCATTTGGCACGCTTCTTTCGGAGATGGATGCTAAACTCGGAGGAGGTCCCAATAGTGTTGATAAGGGCATTAAACCTATACCATAATTTCACCATATGACTTGTGGCTTCTGCTACGGCCAATGAGACCAATTCTGGCGGAGTGAAGCCCACCAAAAGAGACTCACAGTTCTGATTGTGTCCGCTGTAAGGCTGCCACTGCCTGAGCACACACTGCTCCACCCGCTTGTCCGTGGCGCCGCAGTGTCTGCTCAGCATGGCGCGTGTGGCCTTCGTGTTGCTCACACCGGTCAGCGAGATGCCCCGGCACACGATGCCACATGACGTTGAGGTGGCCTTCCGGCAGCAATGGCCGGCGTCTGAAGGAACAGTTGGGAGAAGGGAGAAGGGAGAGGGGTGGGGAGAGGGGTGGGGAGAAGGGGAGGGAGGGAGGGAGTGAGGGAGGGGTGGGAAAGAATGAACGATTGAGGGTGGAGGTGAAGGTAATAAACGAGCAACACGATACGCACACATAGATAGTTTTTGTTTTTTGTAAGAATTTTACTTCACTAGCAATACAAATAGGTCAAATAAGTGCCCGAGATTAGAGGGCTTACAAGAGAGTAAAAAAACATAAAAAACAAGGAGAAGAGATAAGGACCATAGATGTTCGATAGGAAAGAAGGAGCAAGCCACATCACATCACCCACCAACCACCCCCACAGTATGGGGGGAAAGGGGATGGAGGAAAGGCAAAGAAAGAGCAAATGAGGGTGGAAGTGAGGTTAATGAACAAGCAAGACAATACGCACACATAGATATAGTTTTAGTTGGTTTTTTTTGGTAAGAGTTTTACTTCGTGCAGCACAAATAGGTCACATAAGTGCTAAATATTAGAGGTGTTACAAGAGAGTTACAAATACAAAAAAGAACGAGGAGAATTAAAGACGATAGATGTTTGATAGAAAAGAAGGAGCAAATCACACCAGAGCACCCACCAACCCATACATATACACACGACCTGCACATTTAAATAGTAAAAAGAAAGGAAGACAGGTATTTAGTAAGTAAATGTACGGTCAAAGCATATATACACAGTACAACCAGACAACCATATATTGACGCACACACACACACACACACACACACACACACACACACACACACT